GAAGTTGATATTTGTTTTTGTAATATGAATAATCATCTGCTAATTGACCTCAATTCAGCATGTATATTTGTGTTTTTGGGGAAAAGTTTTGTACTCCCCAAATTGAGTTTAATAGGGGTGAATACTTAATTTTTTAAAACTCTACTTCCTATCCTTATGGTGTCAGATGCTTGATTAAAATAGATGAGTAATTGCATATGTGTAGCAAATGATTCTTATATCCTTAGTTACCCCGAGTAAATATTTACACAGTGTGAGTAACTTTTATGTCAGCTAAAATAATATATAACAGTTCTGAAATCTGTGTGTTGGAACATTTTTTTGTTAGGGTGTACTTTTAAGCTTTTTATAGAAAATTAGTCCCTGTCCCACAGTATTTACAATTATGAACACTTGAGTTATTTTTATACAAATCTCAAACTAGTATTTAATCTGCAAATTCTAAGTAGATGGTTTTATTTATTTTTTTATTGTTTTCCTTCCTTAGATTGATACTCCCTTTACCATTTCTTTGGTAGACTGCTCCTTGATGATTTGCTTTGTTTTGCTTTGTCATAAAAATGATTTCATAGTGGTTCTCCCTTTCCTCATCCTTTTTATGATTGCAAATAGGGTACCCCTGAATTTGGTTCATCTATATTTTTCTTGGCATTTCAGATGAATAGGTAGCAGCTGCGGCATTTATTCTTTTGCTTTTGGGGAAAGGGAAGAGGCAAAGAACTAGTTTGTGACTTTAGTGTAAACTGGTGTTTTGCTGTGGAACTTGAAAAACATGAATTATTTGACCTGGAAAGGGAAATTCACTGTAGTTTTTAAATTTTATAAGTTGAAGAAATCTAATTTTTCACTTGATGTCAAATTTCATTGTTAGATTTTTTTTGGGGGTTGGGGGAGGTGGGGGTGGGTGCTGGGGATTGAACCCAGGGCCTTGTGCATGCTACCAACTGAGCTATATCTCCAGTCAGGGTGTTTGTTTTTTAATATTTTTTTTAGTTGTCAATGGGCCTTTATTTTATTTATTGATACATGGTGCTAAGAATTGAACCCAGTGCTGGACACATGCTAGGCAAGCGCTCCACTGAGCCACAACTACAGCCCCCTGTCAGATTTTGTTGTTATTTTTATTATTTTATTTTTTAAGATGATATTTAATGTGGCCAGAGAGGCCTGATTCCACAAAATTTTTATTGGTTTTAATAGATAACTAAAACTTCTTACTTACTCCTTACTACTAAAGGGCTATGGGTATGTGGCATCTCTAGTACAGTCTCACATAATTGTATGTGTGAATGCAGGCATTTGGATTAAGGTGGGGTTTCTTAACATTTTTCTCTACTATGGACTCTTGGCAGTCTGAAACCTATACAACTCTTCTTAGGATATAGGGATTATAAAGGAAACAAATAACTTTGAAATACAGTTAGCAAGCTTTTTTCCCCTAAATATTTTTTAGTTTTAGGTAGATAAAATATCTTTATTTTACATTTATGTGTTGCTAAGGATCGAACCCAGTGCCTCGTGCATGCTAGGCGAGCACTCTACCACTGAGCTACAACTCTAGCCCCATAGTTAGCAAACTTAAAACTCAGTAATATTGTGCTTAATGTTAAGTAACAAGTTCTAGCAATCTTATTTGCATCTTACCGCATTAAGTGGAGATATTTAAAGATTCCCAATAACTTAATGTGACACGAAAATATCTGATTTATATTGATATCAAAATTACATGTATTATAATTCCATGATTTATTATTATATTCATAATTGAAGACAGTGTTAAATTTTTGTCAGGGGGTAGTGAAAATATGTGATTCTCATCCCTTGTTCCCAATTTTGAGTTCCCTGAATTCTATTCATGTCTTGGCTGTGATCTCAGAATAAAAACATCTGGATTTTGTGTCCTGTGAGGCTTAATTTTAGGAGAAAGTGTTTGAACTTTGTAGTCATCCAACAAAATGTTTTTCAAACATTTTTTCTGCTAGTTTTAGTGACTTTTAAAATGTCATAATAATCCAATAATGCCAGATCCCCAAATGGTCTCAATATGCATCTTGCAATTAACTTTTTCATTGGGCTACATTTTCTCATTATATGTTGGTGTATAGTTAATAAGATATTGGTATTTCATACAGTTTCTAAACTTCCATGTTTCCTGTTAATGTCATTTGCTTTTGTGTTTTTCTTAAAATTTTTTTTTTGTTTTTGTTTTAATTCTTCTGCAGGATTCGGAAACTTCAGATACGAAATATCCCGCCTCATTTACAGTGGGAGGTAAGAATTTCTATATTTGAATTTAAGATCCAAATATCAAAGTCTACTGCTGTTAGTTTTTTCAGGGGTTTTTCTCCTTCCTTCAATTCTCGGGTATGCTATAACACAAAATCCTTCTCTTACGGCCTGTGTCTTGATGTGAGTTTTTCTTCCTAATGATATGGTATATCTTTTACAAGTCTGTCTTGGAAATTAAAAAAAAAAAAAAAAGTTGACATAGTCTTGAATTACCAGGTTATCTTCCTCATTCCATCTGGGCAGGATCTTGTTGGTTTGAGTTTTTCCTAGTGAGTTTGTCAATTGTATTAAACTACGAAGTTCCCTCATGGCAATTTTTTTAAAAGATGAGTAGTGCTACCTTCACTTTACTTTGAAATGTTATTCTGCTTCCTTTTGCTCAGATGGTGGCACTGTAGTGATGATGTATAAACACAAACTGTGTAGCAGAGTTGAATAGCCGGTGTCAGCATCTACTTGTAAGGATGTCATCTACATTGTAAGGATGTCATGGTGAGAATTTGAGGCAATAGTAGATGAAGAGATCAAAGAAAATGTCAGTTGATTCTTCCAGATGATGGATTCTGCAAGTTCTTAAAATCTGCCTTAGAGAAGGTGCTGCAGGGAAACTTCTCAGCTTTTATGTATTTCAAATATAAAAATCAAAAAGTAACTAGTTTTGTGTGTTTCAGATCAGTCTTCTGAAGTGACATGTGATGGGTCACTAAACCAGAGCACTTAGAAAAATCAAAGTATGATTAAAAAGGTTCTTTGGTGAGTTGAGGAATGAAGGTCTACAGTTTGATTCCCTAAGGTCCTTCAGTTGGTAACAAATAATTTGTGCTCAGAATGTTTTAAGCAATGTTATCTTCTGAATAATTTTATTGCATTTAATCTTTGCAGGAAAGGATTAGTTTTTTGATTTATGCTAAATGTTTCAAGTTATTCTGTGTATTAAAAATAAGTCACTGGGGCTGGGGATGTGGCTCAAGCGGTAGCGCGCTCGCCTGGCATGCGTGCGACCCGGGTTCGATCCTCAGCACCACATACCAACAAAGATGTTGTGTCCGCCGAGAACTAAAAAATAAATATTAAAAGTTTAAAAAAAAAAAATAAGTCACTGTTTCCATCTACAAAGGATAAAAGTAAATTCCTACATTTTCCTGTTTTAGATTGTTTGCTTGGGGCATTTAGTAGCTTGGGGATTGGGTCCCCAAATCTGCTGTTATGGTATCAAGATTAGCAGTTTGATACCCTTATTTGAGGATGAGCCAATATGGTTTCAAATGTGATTTAGTATGATATTCTGTTCAAGAATTACATGTAATACAATGTACTTTTAATGAAATAGTTTAATAGTTGCAGCCAATCTTAGGTAAGTTATTAGTACGTTAGCCTTTCTGTTACAGGCTAATGGCAGAATTTTCTTTTAATTCTTTCATAGTATCTATTCAGATTTGTGGTTTCTCAAGCTTTTCCCTCATTCAGGGTAAAATCTAAGTAAGAAAAACAAACCTTTATTTGCTGAACTTAATTTTTCTTAACTTTCATTGTTTGTTTTACCTTCTCCATAGTCCTTTGAGGTATCACCAGTTGGTGACATTTTCATTTTCAAATGGGAAAATGTGGGCAAAAATATTAAAATAATTAAGGAAGAACACAGAAAAAGCTTGCAACTAGATTTTGGAACTCTTCACCATTGATCTCCTTTTAAATATTCATTAATTGTTTGATATATTGATTAACAAAAGGAAATTTATTAAGGATCTGTAAGGAGTGGGATGAACTTGTGTTTCCTTTTTTTGAAGACTTGAGTGAATACCATTTATTATTTCTTTTTGGAGAAGGGCCACTTTATATATCATTATTTATACCATTATAGTGGGTATGCTGGCTGTCTTGGGCCTAAGCCTTACTGTAGACTGTGGTAATTTTGCACTTAGAGTTCCAGATTCCTATTACAATGGAAGGATTAGGCTTTGAATCCACTGATTAATTTTAGGATCACAGAAAGAGGAACAACCAGACATTATGTACCTCCTGACTTGATGGAGTAGAAAATACATAGCACCATAGACAAAATATTCTTGCCTCAAAAAGGGGTTTGACTGGATTCTGTTTTCATTTAACTTGGATTTTACAAGAAATATGGATGTTGGAGGGACAGATTAAATGATGCCTTAAAGAAACAAATAGCCAAATTCAGAATGTGGGACAAATGATACTGTTTTGCAGATAAGTCCTCTTTCCTTCTTCATGCCTCTTAATAAGATTTAGGAAGTTAAAAAAGCAAGCACTTGCCTTTAGTGAGTTACTTGTGAACAGTGTAAATAGGCCTGTGGAACAGCTTGGAGTACCTGGAAGAAGCCTTATAGTGTTATTTTGTAGGAAACATTGTAGCTTTGGGGGTCAGTCTTGAAATTATATCCTGGCTCTGCTACTTTCTAGTTGAGTGGTCTAGCTATATGATTTCTGAACAGGTTTTTAAAATTCTTTGCGATTCATTTTCCTAATTTCTAATGTAGCCTCCTCATTAGGTTTCATTGAACACTAAATAGGATTATGCGTGCTATTGCTCTAAAAACAGTGCAGTGCTGAGAAGAACAGCTTACAAATAGGAGAGTGCATGTCTCCCCCCTCTCTTTCTCTGCCCTCCTGCTTCTTAGTCTCCTAGTTCTTTCTATCTACAGAAACTGACAGGGAACAGCTGGGAAAGGTGAACAAAGTCCTACCTCAGCATCACAAAGCCCAAGAGTGGATCTGCAATTGAGAGCTTAGTGGATACTAATAATTTTGGTACCCAAAGTTCTAGAAGTGGAAGATGACCCCCCTCATCATTCTGCTGGTCATCATAAGCCATTTTGTGTGAGGTCACTGCTGGGACTACAGAATCTGGGACCACACAGAAACACATGTGAGATTACAGTGCTGCTTTAAGATTTGTAACTGGACAGTTTACTTTATACCACTGTTATCTTTACTTTTGTCCTCGTCATCATTATTACTATTATTCTGGGGATAGAATCCAGGGCCTCACACATGATAGGCAAACATTCTACTGCTGAGCTACCCACTTCTGTTTCTCATCATCTTTAAATGACCAAGTATTGAGAAGGGGACTCCTCAAGTTCTCTGGGTAGTGTATCTTGCATACTGTGTGCATTCAGCAAGTGCTAAATGGTTTCTAACCATTTAGTTTTGAATGATGGTAAATCATTTTTGGACACTGGATTGACTGAATGTTTCTCTGCTCAAGTGTTTATGGCAGATAAAGATATGATATGAGGAAACTAATTTTTTGAAGGATCTGAGAATTAGGAAGGTTTGTTTGTCACCAAATGTGTGGAATGTAGATGGGAAATTGGAGAAAACTTTGTTCTTTACACTTTTGCCTGGGGAACTTGGGTAGATTTGTAGTCAGGCCTGCGACTCACACCTGTAATCCCAGTTGCTCAGGGGGCTGAGGCAGAAGGATTGCCAAATTGAACAACCTGGACAACTTAGTGAGACCCTGTCTTGAAATGAAAAAGGCTGGGGATAAAAATTAAAAGCTCAGTGGTAGACCACCCTAAGTTTAACCCCTAACTACCCCACCACCCAACAAAAGAATCGATTGTTGTATATGAAGGGAGCCCCTCCTTCATTAAACACCATGCTTGGGGCAGGGGTGATAAAGGCCTAGTAAAATATTTAACTTTAAACATGTGTGATGGTCCTTTTTCTTTCAGCCTACTCAACTTCTAAGTGGGTCCCATTTTCTAAATTTAAGGAATATCTTTATATTAAAAAAAATAATAAAAACTCAAAATTCTAGAGAAAAGAAAAATTTTCTCTAATCTTATCTCACTATTATTGTCTAATAAGAATAATAAAGATTAAGTACTCAGTGAAATCCCTGAGGCCATACCACCTTTGAACTGTATGACCCATTAACTATGTAAATAAAGTCATAGAGTAACTAAAGAGCAACACTCTTTTGGGGTCAGTGACAGAAGCTGATGGAGTGATGTTTCCAGAGTTCACATTTAGGGAAAACTATGTGAGGTATGGGTGGTCACACCTGTATTGTAAGATTTTTATCTGCTGATGGGGCCCTGATGTTGCCCATGACTGAAATGACTGTATTTCCAAGACAAAGATTTGAATGTGTGGCCTGACAAGTACTTAATAGGGATGCATTTTATAAAATCTCCTTTTTGCTGGAAAATACAGAGTGTTCTTTGGCTTTATCTGAACACATAGATATTTAATTTTTCCTGGATTTAATTGAACTTGAAAGACAAATATGTTAGGAAAAAAAATCTGAAAGGGTTTCAGCACCGTAAGTTTTTTCTTCAATATGTGTTGTGTGGTGTGATTAAGGAAGTGAAAGTTGCCTTTTGGGCCCAACAGTGGAATAAGGGGGATTCTTTATAGTTGAAGTATCTTCCGGGTATATACAGGCTGATGGTTAGGGCTCTGGGAGGTAAGTAACTGGTATACTAACAATGAAACACCCAAAGGTCCAGGTGAAAATTGCAGTATAAAATATTGCTTGCTGCCCCCACCCCAAGAGCAGAGTTATCTTAATCTGTTTTGTCCCATTGTCCCAGATGTGGAACATCTATAAAACCTTAAACTGAGCAACACATGTTAACCTATTGAGTGCAAATATTGAAAACTTGGAACTTAATGGGTTAATGATCTTTTAAAAGTCTTTTTGGTGCTTCTTTCTGTGCTTGAAGCAATTTTTGCAACTTAGTGGATTTTATAGGAAATCTTAAAAGCCTCTTCTTCTTTAGGGCCCTAGAATTGCCCTAACAGAATACTTCCGTATTTGACGTTACCTTTAAATCCAGAGCCTAAAAACCAGTTCAGACAAAGTTGACTTCTACAGTATTAACATCCTTGGCTTTCTTTTTACAGTTAAAAACAGTTAATTCTTCCCTAGTGTGGTGTAGGGAGTGTTACATGAATATCAAGATGTCCTAGGAAAGGGCAGCAGAGTCTTCCTGAGAGTCACCCTCACATCAGCCACCCACTCTGGCTAAAACCCAAGGGTACTGGAAAGATGCCCACATTTCAGGCCAAATCAAAACACATATTCTATATAAGGTAGAAACCTTAGAAAATGATCATCTTCATGTGAGATGAAGCAAGTACTTATAATGAGAGATTATGTCATCCACACTGAGTTTAGAATATTACTTAACGAGGATGAGTTGTAGAGGTCATGAATTTATATAAGATTAATAATGGCTTCTTAAGGTTGGTAACATCTCAAGGATGTCTATTTCCTGTCTATGTGAACTCTGACTATAGGAAAAAAGACTGACTGCAGGAGACCTCCCTTCTAAGGAGGTCAGGCTGTACTATTAAGAGTAGAAATAGCAATGTCAGTAAGCCAGGCTCTGGCAGAAAAAGGGAAACTGAGGGGACCTTATTTAAGAAAAATAAGGAAAATAGTGATGCCACGTTATCTAATTTGGTGGTGGTGGGGAATAATACCATAGTTAATATAAAATAGTCTTCTCTCTGGATTTCCTCTCTGAGCTATCTTGGGTTGGGGTTCAGTGGGGTGACTTTCAAGTGAAGAGATTAGGACGGGGTCTACGGAGATAAGACCTGTCATTCTGTCCAAGTGCAAATTGCTTTTTGGTGCTGTGGTCAGTTGTTAGCTGTTTCACAATGGTTATAGGAATTAATGCTAGCTAGAAATTGCATGAGACAGAGCATTAAAATATTTTTTTAAGTGGTAGATGGACACCCTTTATTTTATTCATTTTATGGGGTACTGAGGATTGAACCCAGTGCCTCACATGTGCTAGGCAAGCACCCTATCAACTAAGCTACAGCCCCAACCCCAAGACAGAACATTAAGTAAAATTGATAATATAAAGCTGACAACATGAAGTACTTGAACTCAATCAAACAGAAAATGTGTAAAGGCAGTTGAGTTGATATAAACCATGAACCAAGCCAGAAGTAATGGAAATCACTAATATAAAATGTTAGAAATAACACATAAAGATTGAAGCATAAGTTAGAGCTCTAAATAAAGCAGAAGCTGATAATAACTGGGTATGTGGGTGGTGATTTTCTTCACAATGGCCTGACTTTGATCACATGGCAAATGACAACACTGAGTGCTTGGGTGCTAGATACTAGGTTGACCTGTTTTAATCTTCACAATAGTCCTATGTCCCCACTTCACAGATGAGACTACTGGTTACACAGATGTGGAGTAAGGAAAGTGTCCAGGTCATGTGGTGGAGGAGGTCAGAGTTTCTGTTCTGGTTTTTGTCTTTGTTATTTTGGTAGCACTGGGGATCAAACCCACACTGACACCTGGAGGCAAGTGCTCTATCACTGAGCTGCATACCCAGCCCTTAGTCAGGTTGCTCTATCAGGAAACTTCCAGCAAAACGGAAGTTTCTCTTTCTTGCGGTTATCACTAATTTGCTCTCAACATGATCCTGAAAGTCTGACAGGGAACCTGACAGAAATGGCCAGGTCTGGAGGAAACACTCTGGCTTTGAGTGATGGAGGAGTGATGAATGTCTTTGGAAAACTCTGGTGTTTAGGGAACTGTGGACAGTAGGTATTTTGTGCATGATTGCTCTTGGGTGGGTCAGACCTTTCATTCTCAGAAATCGTCTAGTGACTGGCATGCAGGAGAATTCGTCTCCCTATGACAGGCAAGTATTTCTGGTTCCTGCCTGCTAACTCCATGAGCTTTCCAAGACCTTGTGCTGTGATCCCTGGACATTTGTTTTCCTTTTGTACTTCTGTAGTTGTGTGTGTTTCCCCCTCCCCGAGGTGATCTTGAAGGTCTTCTTGCTTTTTATTTGTTTTGTTATAAAATATCAAACACAAAAATAAGCCAGTTACTACCATTGTAAGTATGGGGGGGGACAATCTTGTTTTATTTGTACATCTACACTTGTCCCCCTTTTTAGGTTTGTTTTGGAGTAAATCCTAAACATTATATCTCCTCATTATTAAAGACTTTGGTATGTATCCTTAAAAGATACTCTGTCTTATTTACTAGGACTGCCATAATAAAATAATATAAACTGGGAGGTTTGAACAATAGAAACTCACTGTATCATGTTTCTGGAGACTCAAGTCAGGGATGCTCGGTTGTCTTCAGGTGGGCCTCTTCTCAGGGCTATGAGGGAAGGAGTTGTTTGAAGCTTCTCTCTAGGCTTTCTGATATTCCTTGGATTGTGGCAGCACAACTCTGATTTTTGTGGTGTAGCCTTCTTGCTGTGTCTGTTGCCAAACTTCCCCTTTTTATTAGGACCAGTTATGTTCACCCTAATAACCTCATTTTAACTTAATTTGCCCCCATAAAGACTCTTCAAATAAGGTAATATTTGGAAATACTGGGAATTAAGACTTTATCATGAATCTTTTTTGGAGAGCACAATTCAACCCATAGAAATCAGTCTCTGTCTATTTTGGTACCAGGAATTGAACCCAGGGGCACTTCATTGCTGAGCTACATCCCTCGCCCTTTTTGAGATAGGATCTTGCTATTGTTGAGAATGAGTTTTTACTTGCGATCTTCCTGCCTCAGTCTCCCAAATTGCTGGGATTACAGGCATGTACCACCATGCCCGACAACACTTCTTATTCTGAGACAGAGTCTCACTAAATTGCCCAGGCCAACTTTGAACTTGGGATCCCTTTACCTCAGCTTCCCAGGTTGCTGGGATTAGAGGCATGCACCATGCCTGGCAAAAATTCGTTGATCTTTTTGGTTTTTCTGTTGCATATCTTCTCATCAGTAGCCCCCCACCTGCACCCTTATTTTCCTCCATGCGCTACCAGGGATTGAACTACACCCCCAGCCCTTTTAAATTTTTGTTTTCAGACAGTCTTGCCAAGTTGCTGAAGGTCGTAAATTGCTGAGGCTGAACTTGCAATCCTTCCAGGCTCAGCCTCCCTAGTCACTAGGATTACAGGTGTGCACCACTATACCCAACCCTTCTGCTCCCCCGCCCTGTTCCTTTAAGTTGGTTTATTCTGTAGAGTGTTCTACATTCTTATTTTGCTGAATTATATCCATATGTGGTCACTTAACACATTCCTCTGATGCCTGGTGGGCTTAGGTTATACACAAGTTTGCTTTTAGTTTATTTTGACAAGACAAAAGGATATATAGGTGGTATATATTCTTTAATTAGGAAGTACATAGTGTCTGTCTCTTTGTGATGTGAAATGTCATTGATCATTGCTTAGATTTCATTATTGTGTGCTTGCAGGAACTAGTAGTATTTGAGCTCTACCAGTTCTTCATTTATTACTTGGAATGCATTTGTAAGGAGGAATTTGTCCTCAATAGTTGTTAGAATACTCTGAGGTGTAGTTTGTATAAAAGAAATGGGACAAATGCTTGGTACCCTCCCCTCACCCCTTTTGGTGTATTGGCATTCTGGAAGGATGGCAGTGAATTTGTGTATAAACTACAAGCTCATGGGTTTAAATATTATTAGGTTTCAGTATTATTGGAATCATTCTCAATGATGTTTACATTATCCTGCGAGGATCTTGCTAGCTTCAAGTTAGTGTCAGTGTTCTTTTGATGCCACCTCAGTAGTTATTAGCTTCCTTAATTTTGTGGTACAAGAAGCCCCAGGTTTATCTTGAATCTTCCTATCCCAAAAGACTAGGGTTGGCCCTCTGCTCTGCCCTGGCTGCTTTGGAAATGGTGTTGAAGGTCATTGTGTGATCATGCCCTTGG